ATAACGATATTTAAATCGTGGAAGAAAATAAACAAATGCACTAAATTGTCTGTAATAATAAATTACGATTATTTAATTATTGAGAAAAATGATCCATTATTTGTTATTTCTCTTTTACGGAAGTCTTCTTTATTAGAGCATACGTAAATAACATTTACATTTGAGATATAAGAAAATATTTTTTTTTAATTGATGATCTACATGAGATGATTTGTAAAAACAATATCTTTACATGTGGAATTATTAAATAATAATATATTTTGAATTGATATGTTGGACTGATTTATGAGTTTAGTGAGAATTTTATGTATATTGATACACATAAACTGATATGTTCTGCTGCATTGATATTTGTGCCAACTAGCGCTCTCTGTTTCTTGTATCAGAGCATGTTCAAAGTTAAATAACCTATAAACGTCATGGCAAAGGAACTACATAAATGTTTGATAAATTATTTTTCACAGTTAGAGAAAGTAAATTGCAAGTGGAATGAATTATCCGAAGAAGCTAAACGACCTCTACACGCGTTAAGGAATCAATCAGAGCAAATCCGACTAGTTGTAAGGTAACGTTAACTTTCTATTTTTTGTTACAAGTTTTATCACTGGTTCATGTGTCATGTGCATGTAATAGCTAGAGTGGAAACTCAACACAGTTACAAGTTACACCACATTTGAGAGAAGCAGAAGGTTGTTTGATCTACCATCAGGTGTCGTTCTGTTACAGCAACGAGATTGATAATGCAGAACTCTGTAAAATGGATGAGCTACGCGAAAGATTGATTTTTAAAATTCTTATGGGGATTGATAGTGAACTGAGACTGCTCTTCGATATTTTAATGCGATTTAACAATATTAATCAAGTAAGTAAAATTACAATTTTTATTTTTCTGTTCATACCCTGTTTGTTTCTTATATAACATTAGTTGATCCTCCTTCTCTGATTACAACGAATTAAAAATAATTATGTTATTCATGTAAAAAGTTTAATGTAGAAATTTTTAGCATTATTAATTATCAGAAAAAATATTACTTCAGGATCTAAAAAATCGTTTAAACAATCTAGAAGATGCACGAAGCAAGGTTTCATTAGATGAAGACACAATGAAAGAATTAATTAATGGAACACCTTATAGACCACGATTAAATTTACTTTTAGAATGGGCTATTGAAGGTTTTAATTATTACCATGAATTGTATCCTTTAATTGGAAATATTTTTCAGATTTGGATTTTTACAGAAATGTGAATTGTGAATTTTCTAGTCATTTTTTCTTAACTTATACAATTTTTAGATATCTTCTGATTAATGGCAACATAAAACAATTCAATTATAATGATGAGGAAACGATAAAGAATTTAACGAAGTGTTTTGTCGAGGACCGATTTAAAAAGCTTCGGATCGAACGTAAGTAGCTGTCTTAGCATTTTAACTAATTAGCAATTTTGTCATTAATTTGCATTATTTATTTCAGGTATACTATATTTCACTCAATTCTTAATGAAAGAATCTTTACGTTAAATACTTTTTAATACTGCATATAAATATTAGAAATTTTATAAGTAAATATTTTTAAAGACTGCGATATTTTGTATCCAAATATGATAAATAAAAATATCCGTATTTGTATTATTTTTTCAATAATTTGATCTTCCTGAAATTCAGAAACTTTCTGCCCGCACCGAACTATAAATCTACTAAATGAACTTGTAAATATATTTTTTTATGTTTCTACACTTCACGAAATCAACAAACGAAAATTTAATTCGTACAAAATTATGAAAACTATGATTTTGTCACGATGAAATAGGTATTACAAGTAGTACAACTCGTTACGTAAGCTGACATTCGTAGGGCGACGTACTCTGCTTGTCTGACTAAAAACGAGTTTATCTACTGAAACTCGAATAAACTTCTTTTGTCTACAAGCGAAGACAATAAAAAAATTTTACAACTTTTCTACTGTCAAATAATAATTAACGACTTCTAAAGTAAAGAAGAGAAATTTCAATAAAAATTTCGTTAACTATTTACTCCATTTATATGTGAATATGTGTCAATTTAAATTCATCGCACAAAACTGAAATGTTAATCATTTTTTTTTTTTGATTAAGAAAAATTTCGACACGATATTGGAAAATTCTGATTGATCTTTATTCTAACTGATAAATATAAAGCCTCTTCACTGTCTATTCAAAGTGAAGCATGTTGTTTAATTGAAATGAGCGTTACCTCGAAACAATATTAACAATGATTGCATTACTGTCTCATTGAGGCTTACTCTCCTCGCATTACTTATCCATATCACAAGCAATTGCTGATTGAAGGGAAAATTGCTAGCGAAGGAAGGAAATATGGAAGGAAGAAAGTGAAGGAAACATTAATATTTCCTTCTTGAAAAAGTGTTAATTACGTAATTCGCGACTCTTACTCGTGTCACATTCGAACACTTTCTTCTATATAGAATATAAGAATACGTGTTACTTGTTATCGATTTAGTTTTCATAAAGGTCAAATGCTTCTACTTAATCTCCCATTGGAATTTCCAATTCAATTACATATCTGGATAAAATTCTGTGCATCTGATACACCTAATGTGCAAAATCTGTTATATGAACTGTTTGGATGTCGTGAAATTCCTCAACTTAATCATATTATTTAACATCTTTACGTATTTGAAATCCTTCTTACCAAGAATTATTTGAAAATATATCTATGCATCGAGAAGTAGATAAAAAAGAAATTTCAATTTTTTGTAACATTCCAGACTAAACTATTGTAATATCAATCATCGTCCGATGTCGTGTCACGTTTGCGTTCTAGTTCTTTGATCGACGATAAATGTCCGTCGCGATGACATCGGTTATTTGCCACGATCGGTTCGCCGATCATCGACCAATTTTCTGGCAAAAAGGGTTCACGCATATTACGGTCTGTAGGACACATCTGTAGAAGACATTGGGGCGCCGGCGCTTGCTATTGATTCCGTTGGATATCGTGATTTCAAAAGTTACCATCGTAGTAGAGGGTGCCACAGTAGCTAACTGCTCCTCGAACCATAAGGAGGCCCTCGCGCTTTTCTTTATTTCACCCCAACAGGTTAGTGACGAGCTTGCAACGTTATTTTGTGAACTAAACGACGGGAATTTTTTTTTTCAATAATTTTTTATCAAATCGATATAGATCGTATTATTATGTCGTTGTATACGCAATAAAATCACTTCGCGACAATAACGGAACTGGAGCGTTATTTATTTGAATCGTCTCTCTATCTGGATATCCTTTGAATGAGAACACGTTTAATTACGCTCGTGATGAATAGGTCTCGACGAGTGAATGGATTTCGAAATATTTGGAAAATATTTTCGAGAATTCGTTTTCAGTTGAGAATATTATGTAGGACGAAAAATGTCATTTGATTGGTGCGCTCATGACGTCAATGGGAACGGTAGTTATAGTGCATATCACTCGTGTAGAATTGCCGCCCAATATGTTATCGAAAATCTTCTGAGGAAACGATGAAGTTCCGTTCGATTTTTATGAGACAGAAGCAAAGGACATTGTGTGGAAATGATTTTCTTTAATGTCATTCCCTTTCTCGAGTAAATTTTTATTCATAAAATTACCACGAACCGATTCGCCTGGAAAACTGTGACGGATATTCGGTCATCGATACATTACAATCGACATGGAAATAAACATTTTCGACTATATCACTAAATAAGTATACTTGGAGAGTATTTAGTGACATTAATTGACTGTCAAGATCCCTCGTACATACGAGGTCAAGGCCGCGATAAAGCCGAAAGGCAAACATCTCTCCCTCCTAACTAACTGTTCTATCGACGAAAAAAAGCGACGTGTGCCAGGTTCTTTGAGTAGAATTATAAAGACTTTTTCTGTCAAGTGCTTTTCTTACTGGGCAGAGAGCGTTCAAATGAGAGAACAAGGGAATCGCGTGTGATCCTCTGCACGTCGTCCTCTCTCTTATCTATTGTTTACTTCGATTCTTCACCACTATGTTGGAGTTTACAGTTAATATCCATGTTACATAATCATATAAATTTGCTGAATATTGAACAATTATTTTCATTTTTATAAATAAAATTTGTGTAAATAATTCGTAATATAAAAGTACTTTAATTATTAGAGAATTATTAGTTACAAATACTTCAGTTAGACAGTAAACAAAGACAGTAGAATGCTTTAATTATTAGATGAACAGACTATTAGACAGATAATTTTTAAGAATGGTTAATACGAAAAAATTGCATTGAAATAATTCTCTTGAATAATTGTCTTATTTTTCAAGATCGTAGCTTTATCACGTTAAATAAATAGCAGTTCTAAATGTAATGTATCGTATGGAGTATGTTCTTACAAATGCGACTGTAGAACTGCTGGACTAATTGTAATCCAGGCTCATACTTAAGACGGAAGTAACCAGAAAACTGTGAAGTAATTTAATATTTCCTTTTGAAGCGAGTCTAATTTTAATTTCACCAAAGTATTTATTTCCTTCCTTTATGAACTAAAATACTGTAACAAAGCTTTCCAAAACGAATAATGTTGATATTTTGTTAAAACATGGGATATTGAATTGTATTATGTATAAACAAAATTTAATATTAATCATCGGTTAATTACGTTCGATATTATTTTAATGAGATTGAAAATTATTAAATTAAATAATAAATCGAATAATCCATATTCAAGTATGCATTAGAATTAAATGTCGGACATGAATATTGTGTTTAATTATTTGTCGAAATTTTAAGTGTTTAAAATTGACCACGTCTGCTTTTAAAGATTTTTTTCTTGTTTACAGATGTATTGCTGTTCATAATAAATCTATCGAGCATGTTGCTCTTTTATCACGATTATATATATAATTATGATAAACGTTTTAATTCTAGCAGGATGGAGTCCATAGGCGCGCGTGGTATTTCTGTTTGATCTTTCGAAAAGAAGGAAATCGTGATCGTACGATAAAGAGAAAGAATGGCGAACACGGCCCATCTGGTCCGCCGGCAAAGCTCACGCGACTTGAAGCCCCAAAAAAGTGTCGATAAACTTGAAATGAAGGAAATGAGAGGAAGATTAGTGGTGGACAACAGAAAGGCTAACACCACTGCCAATTACGGGGCCACGAACGCAGCCTTTGAGGACTCCAGTCCTAATACGAAGGTAATAATGTCAATTGACAACAATTTGAAAAAATTAAATAGTACAGAAAATAATAATTAATGGAAAGAAACAATCGATCGTAGAAAAAAGAAATAAAAATAAAAAGTAGAAGTTAGAAGTTAAAAAAATAATTGAAACTGTCTGCTTATTTAGATTAATTACTTATTATTGATTACTTATCACAGTGAAATATACGTATAAATTAACGAATTCTGGAAAACGTTTGGTAATTGGATATTATTTGTCATTGCAGAACAAAACGGGCAATGGGGGTGGGGGTAGTAAGCTCGGAAGCAATGAAGGAAAAGCGATTTTTCGACCGGAAGCGGGAGAGGATGAAAGAGAAAATTGGGATAGTAAGCTTACTTTTCTATTAGCAACCGTAGGGTACGCTGTAGGGCTTGGGAACGTATGGAGATTTCCATATCTCGCTCAAAAGAATGGTGGAGGTGCGTCAATTATTACTTCAAGAAACAACATAAAACATTTCATAAAAATTTTCAACACTGATGATTGATTGTCTTCTCTTTGCTTGAACCACTCGAAACAGGTGCATTTTTAATCCCTTACTTTGTAATGTTGGCTATCGAGGGGATCCCTATATTTTATCTGGAATTGGCAATTGGCCAGAGATTACGAAAGGGTGCTATCGGTGTATGGAATCAGGTAATTGTTGCACAATGTATACGATGCGACCTGTCAAAATAAACTTAAGTTTTTACATGCGACACATCGTGATCTTTAACAGGTTTCTCCGTATATGGCTGGTATCGGTGTAAGCAGTGCTGTAGTATCGTTCAACGTAGCTCTGTATTACAATACTATTATCGCTTGGTGCCTCTTCTACTTTGTTCAAGTGAGTATTTATTCACCGTTAGATAGTTTTCCATTCAAAATATACTGTAAATCTGTAGCTTTTAATATTCGTATCTGTAGCTTTCAATGACTGTCTTATTATTTTTTATCAGATGAATTTGCAATGGTTGCCAAATATTCTCAATCAAAGCGTAATTTTGTTATTGGGGGAAAAACAGTGTCTGATAATTAAGACCTGTCGTGTCTTACAACAATTTTTACAAGAATTTTATTTCATTAAGTTTTGACTTGGCTGTAGATGCTATGCTAAAGTATGTGTGGTTATACGTTGGCTTAAGCTAAGTAGATTGACAAATGAATTATGCTCTTTCCAGAGTTTTCAATCAAAGCTACCATGGGCAGAGTGTCCCAACATATATTTCCAAAACGGATCGTACGCGCCTGAACCGGAATGTGTGGTATGATTGATCGAATTAATTACTTGCTTCGATATTTAATAATCAGGATAATCGCATTATGTACAACCAATGATTGCTTCTTAGGTTAGCAGTCCCACGCAGTATTTCTGGTATCGGACGACATTGATGATCTCCGATGATATTAATACCCCAGAAATATTTAATTGGAAGATTGCTCTAGCATTAGTGATCGCTTGGATTCTTGTCTACATGTGTATGATCAAAGGAATCGCGTCTTCAGGGAAGGTATTCTTTTAAAGTGTTCAACGTTGACTGCATGCCTTCATGTAATTATACGCAGAATCGAACGACCAGCTTTCCAAACAACTTTATAAATTGAAATATCTTTTATAGGTCGTGTACGTGACAGCCACATTTCCATATATCGTTTTAATCATTTTCTTCTTCCGTGGCGTCACTTTAACAGGGATGTCTGATGGCCTACGTCATCTTTTCACTCCAAAAGTATGATCTATACTTTTCAATATGATGTGTATTTTATTAGTGTATGATAATATTGGTAAATATGGTATTGGTTGTAATATTTAGATGGCGAAGAAATTTGTCTAATTATTAATATTACAATATTCATCAGTATTATTATTTTTTAATAATATTTTAATAATTATTTGTCCAGTGGTGGAAATTAACTGACCCAGTAGTTTGGTTGGAAGCGGGCACACAGATATTCTTTTCCCTCGGTTTGGCATTTGGCGGATTAATAGCGTTCTCTTCTTACAATCCTGTGAACAACAATTGTTATCGAGACGCTATTATGGTCAGTTTAACAAATTGTTTCACTTCGATGTTTGCCGGGATTGTTGTGTTTTCTATTATTGGTAATTATTTGCCCACTTTTTTAAGTTCTTAAATGCTAAATATTGAAAAAGGTAAATCGAATACGTGTGTATTTATTTGAATATAGGTTTCAAAGCCACCATGGTCTACGAACATTGTTTAATAGAAAGAAACGCCACGCTTATCAATATTTTTGGCCAGATAGATAAAATACCAGACGAAATACCGGCAACCGGTACACTTTTAAACATCACCACAGGGAATGGAACGCTGGATAATTTAATCATGCCAGAGCTACCCGAATGTGATCTCGAGAAAGAATTAGACAATGTAAATTATATTTTCAAATATACATATCATTCTAATCTTATAAATTCTATTGTTAAATAGAATATAAAATTTACTTGTCCGATCGCTTAATATTATTTCCCTTATAACATTTCAGTCAGCATCAGGCACAGGCTTAGCGTTTATCATCTTCACAGAAGCGATTAATCAATTCCCTGGAGCTCAGTTCTGGTCGGTGTTGTTCTTCCTTATGTTATTCACGTTGGGCATTGACTCTCAATTTGGCACCCTCGAGGGAGTCGTTACAAGTATCGTAGACATGAAATTGTTTCCAAATTTGCGCAAAGAGATTCTCACAGGTCAGTAATGATCGAGAATGTTAATATTCATTAAGCTAATATCTGAACGCAGTTGAAGACGATCATTTTCAAAATAGGTGGTATTTGCTTGGTCTGCTGCGCGATTTCCATGGCTTTTGCACACGGTGCTGGTAGTTACGTGTTCGTGTTATTCGATAATTTCAGTGGAAATTTCCCTCTGTTGATTATCGCCTTCTTTGAATGCATCGCAGTCTCATATGTATATGGTTTGAAAAGGTATATAACAATATTTCAAATATGTGTTACGTTCCCCATCGGTATTGTCTTCAAAATCGTTTAGATTATTGGCATTATTTCTATTGATAGATTCGCCGATGACATCGAACTGATGACTGGCAACCGTCCAGGCCTTTATTGGCTAATCTGTTGGAAATACCTCAGCCCACTGGCTATGCTGAGCATTTTAATTGCCTCGATCGTGGAAATCGTTGTCGATGGAAGCGGTTATCCAGCTTGGGTTGCCAGCAAAGGTATTACGGAGAAACACGAGTGGCCGTTTTGGGCCCTGATTCTCATCGGTATTCTCATTCTCGCCTCTGTTCTTTGGATTCCCACGGTTGCTATCTGCAGGTAATGCTTTTTCTCAGCTTATTTGTTTTTTTTTTTTTTATCATTAACCCTTAAATTATTTTCCTACAAACAAGTGATCTATAGCCGGAGGCTGTGATCTCTTGGGGTTAATTTCAAACGTTTCAACATTTCGTATTTTTTTTTTTCACAATTTTTTCCCATCATTCTATCGATTTAGACTTTTCGGAATACTGATAATCGACGACAACGAGAAAGCGTGGTTCCCCGCGGCTGATCTGAAGGAATTTCACGGAATTATGCCACACGAAGTAACACCTGCTGAAACTTTGTTATTCTGTATAAGAAGCGACGGCTCAGAGGGTCTTTGTTGTCCAACTGGTGGCCCCAGCGATGACGACGAGGATCTCACCTAGGAATGGTTATCCTCGTGCATGTTGGATTAACATGTGTTTAAATGGTTCATAGACCGAGAAACAGCATTTTTTAACTTCATATCGAGGTCTGGATCATTGGCAATTAATTTAGGGGTAACTAGATGTCACGATTATCATTCCTTACAATTTAAATTCGGCACTTGACATTCCTTGATTTACTTTAGACGATATTTAGAGAAGGGTACACATCGTGTCAATTACTCTGGAAATGATGTTCGTATCATTCGATTTCTATTTACATTGCGGTGTTGTGATGATATTCTTTTAGAGGTGATATTATAGAACATACGTTCGAATAAGGGAGAAATTCGAAGGTACGGATTTAATACGACGATCCGTTAAAGCACGGACAATTGCTTTTCCATTTTTAGACGTGTCTCTTTGCTGTTTCTCTGAGCCTCTGGATCATTTAGCGGATCAAATGCGAATGTCAATAAATCGGGCAGGTGAAATGGAAGCGTTTAATGACGTTTTCAGCAAATAATTTTCAGTAAAATGTGAGGAAACGAATATCAAGCGGACGAGGATAAATATATAAATAAGAAACCGTAAGTTCTACTTTTAACACAAACTTACAGTTTCTTTGCTTACGTAGATATACGATACATTCGAAATGCATTAATTTCCATTAATTCGTTTGAAGCTTTCGAGAGAAAAAAAATTTTGTTTCTTGCATATTGTGATAATGTGAAACATTAGAATATACAAAAAGTACAAGAAGACAATTAGAAGAAAGGGGAAGAAGAAATCATTCGGAGCTAAATACAACAAAATTTTTAAATCGTCTTTTACAAGCAGGAAAAGATTGCACATAATTATTTAAAACGATAGAATTACCGTGTGGAGTGAAACTTTCTAACATAAATTATAACTACATTCACAAGATGTATCGTATATCCGAAGAATACTTAGCATATAACGCGTCATTTTAGCATTTACAATATACATCCTTAAAAGACAAGTTAAAATCCTGCGACAGATTGCAGATCATAATACTAATGATTAGGATAATATTAAAATTAGATTCGTGAGAACTTTTACCGCTTAGCAAATTGCAAATAACGTGAGACCTAAGATTAGAGTAGGAACCGTCCAATGGGCGTAAAAAAAAGTAAGGGGACGTTCCCGAATCGTATTGCATTTACTTTCGTTTTTGGTGAAGGTATTAACCAGCGCTACTTCGCTGATTGATTCTCCGTTATATGCTCTTATCATTGCGTGCTACATTCTTGTATCAAATTACATTACGAAGGTAATATCTATATTGCAAAATTTGACGATGAACATGTCGGAAGAAACAGATGAAGCAATGAGAGTCAAGAATCATATCAAAAAATATCCTTTCCAAAAGATGTGATCAAGTGTGATGCATTCGAATAGTTGATATTTTATCGTAGCCCTCATAGTAACGAATATCAATTACTTTAGCAGTATCTCTACATACATATCCCACACGTCGAATTTATAGACTTTGTTTCTAACTGCAACTGAGAGAAGAGAAACGAGAGATGGGCAAGTGAACATTGATCGGCATATGCGGTAGCTATGTCGCATTGAAAGTACTCCGAATAGGAATAGGAAAGAGAGGGAAGAAGAACGCATATCAACATGATGCATCAAGCGAGAGAAAATTTCGTTGCGATTTTAGCGGTATGTTCGTCGGTTTTTCTTGGCGAACGTGTTAACGTATAAGGACAATAAGAAAATTTTTTAGGACTCGACATATTGGCGAGGACTCGTACGACAATAACGAAATTCGATTAATCGAAATTTTTAATCGACAAAGAAAATTCGACAATAAGATAAACGTATGCACTGCACTTCTTGCACATTCACCGAGGCCTATGAAATCGAG